CCACAGACTTGCATCTCTAACCACAACCATCTATGCAACAATTAGTCATCTTTACACGGAGAGATAAAAACCAAGAGTGCAAGAACAGCATACTTTCATCTCTGCTCTTGATTTCAGACACTTTAAGAGCCATGTTCAAATTACACCTGTTTGGCAAGAACGTTAATGATATCCTTAAAATCAAAACCTAGTTTTATTTGGCATTCAAGGTAATGAAACCCAAGATAGAATAGGATCTTTACAGAATGTCTAGCCCACAACCCTTACTTTATAGGTGAGGAAACATGAAGCCTTGGCAGGGATAGCTTAACTGATTTGCTCATTAGGAAAAATTACAGAAACAGGTCTAGAAGGCAGGTCTCCTAGGTTATTTCCATACTACCATGTGTCTTCACCAAAAATAAAAAATAAAAAATTTTAGATAAAAGATGAGTTATGTAAACCATTCTTAAAACTCACAAGGATTTGGAACTAGACAGATTCCATCACAATTGAAAATTGAAAGATCAGTTAATTCTCTAGCTCGATGCCTTGGAACTTACAGAAGCAGCCTCATCATACAAGGCTTATTTTAAAACGTTTGTTTCAAAACAATGAATAAAGTTTATTGCCAATGAGTAGTACTTTCATTGACAGTTAAAAAAAGACAAGCTTAAATTCTTTGTCTTTTATTAATTCTCATAAAACCCTAACTATTCATAAAATTGGAGCCTGAAAAGGTTTTTATCTAAGTATTTATTTCTCTAGGGACAACAAAATAAACTACCTAAACAAAAAAGAACTATTAAGAGAAAACAGCACCTAAGTAGTGAGCAGTTTCCCAATGAGAAGCATGAAAACTCACATTTGATGTAGACAGAACCAAGACACAACCACCACTACAGAGCTTACTGCACAGCTCAAAATAACACAAATATAAGTGAAGAACAAGTGATACAGGACCCTTTTCCATCCCTTTTGTCACCCTCATTTCTAAATAAAGAGGAACTACAGAGAAATATGAGAAGTGGCAAACTGACGAGGAAGTTACATTTTTTCTTCTATGGGAAAAAGAAATTCCTATAAATCACAAACAGTCATAAAATCTAATTTTATTGAAATCAAACTTAGAGTTCAAAATGTTTTCTTATGAAGCAGAAAAGCCACCTAGTTTAATATAATTGTAAAATAAAAAGGCTTCAGTATATTTTCAGCACTCACCTCTTCTGGGGTGATTACACCTGTTTCCTTAAACTTTGATTCCTAAAGAAAGCAGAAAGAAAAGCAATATTATATATTGTTTCACTGTCAATTAAAAATGTTTCTGGGGGCAATTATTTGCCTGCTGGTACCCTTCTAGGCAATGAAGCACATACAAAAAAAAAAAAAAATCATTCTATCTATCTAATCTATAACTTATCTATCTAATCTATAACTTATCTATCTAATCTACCTATCTATATCTATCTATCTGTCTCACTCACTGGTAATGACCACAGGAATATACAAGTCTAATGTAGAAAACAGACATAAAAATAATTATAATATTAACAGATCACTGCTATACCAGAGTAAAGTTCTATGTAAACATTCTAAGATTTAAATAAAAATAAAGCCTTACAGTGATTCTGTGAAATGAACAAATATCTTTATTTTACAGCACAGCAAAAATGTCTTAAAGATGTTTAGACATCTTACAGTTCAGCCAGTCTCATTTAAACTGAATAATATTAGAAACCAAATCTATAAATCATTTAGCATTTTCCCCTAATTCGCAGCTCCACCAAGATATTGACACAGTATCCTTTCCTCTAAAGCAAGGATGCTGTTAACTAAATTTTTCTAAACCTTAAGTTATATGTAAGATTTTCTGGTAGAGTCTACAAAAATGAGAAGACTTATTTATGAACATTATTCATTCAACAAATGTTTACTATGTGCCAGACACTATTTGAGGCAGTGGGGATATTTAGTTGTGAATAAAATATACTCAAATTTATTCTTGCCTTCATAAGGAGTTTCAACTCTAGTTGAGGAAGAAAAGCCAAATGGTAATGAATAACACAGCATGAAGAAAAAAGAAGCAGAGAGGAATCTGTGGGATTCCTGGAATCTGTTGGGGAGAGATGGTCATTTAAAATAGAACTGTAAGAGAACAAAGACTTTCTTTATTGAACAATGACTTGAAAACCTTAAGGCAAGGAATATGCCATAAGGCTTTAAGTGCCAAGAGCTTTTCAGATAGAGGAAAGGGCACATGCAAAATCCTGAAACAAGAGTGTGCTCAACAGAATAATAAAGAGGAGGTCAAGTTAGCTTAAGCAAGAGCAGTCAGGGGATGGAGTAGATGAGACTGGGGCCTCTACCAATTAAACAGAACCTTAGAGATGATTTTAAGAACTGCAGTGTTTACTGCATGCACATCCTCCAAACAAAACATGATTTTTCTTTTTACTTGCTAGAAGGCAATTACTTATTTCCTGAAGATTTTGTTTTCTCTCCTTGCCCACTTTTATCTAGCAGGAAACTGTAAGGATTCTCTCTGTAAACCAACAGTTTGCACAGGAGATATCAAAGAAACGGTCATTAATTCTTTCCTTTTCACTAAAAACATATACAATCCATAGACATAATAACAGTTCCTTTTCAGTTTGGTGATCAAGTAAAATGACTCCTCGAAACGTAATTCTACATCATAAATTTTATATTTAATTTGGGCAGTCTCTTACCCCTCTCTCCCTGAAACTGAAAAGTTGTAACAATGGTGTATTATTAAAATACTGTACATCTAGGTAGATGATAGTCTGAAAAGGTAACATAATATGTAAAAACATTTGATTCAAATGTGAAAATTACTGTCCAATCTTAACTTGACTGAATAATCTTAAAATGACTTTCACAGTAAAGAAATGTAAGCAAACCAACAGTTGAAATTCTCATTTATAATCGCTGGTTTATTTCGTACTTGGCCAGTAAGTTATTCTTTTAAAAGGAGTTTTAGAAAAACGTATTTTAGGCCGGGCGCGGTGGCTCAAGCCTGTAATCCCAGCACTTTGGGAGGCCGAGGCGGGTGGATCACAAGGTCAAGAGATCGAGACCAACCTGGTCAACATGGTGAAACCCCGTCTCTACTAAAAATACAAAAAATTAGCTGGGCATGGTGGCGCGTGCCTATAATCCCAGCTACTCAGGAGGCTGAGGCAGGAGAATTGCCTGAACCCAGGAGGCGGAGGTTGCGGTGAGCCGAGATCGTGCCATTGCACTCCAGCCTGGGTAACAAGAGCGAAACTCCGTCTCAAAAAAAAAAAAAAAAAAGAAAAACCTATTTTAAAAAGTACAGCCGGGCACGGTGGCTCACGCCTGTAATCCTAGCACTTTGGGAGGCCGAGGTGGGTGGATCACCTGAGGTCAGGACCCCATCTTTAGAAAATAATTAATTAATTAATTAATTAAAAAGTACAGATCTACTATTTCCCTTTGTAATGGAAAAGGAGCAAAGCAAAACTCTCCACTATTCTTAGCTTATTAGAGTATTTCACCCCCACACTGAGATTGGTACATTCTAATTGAAAGCCTAAAAACAACCAGAAAAAAAAAACAAAAACTAAGCAAGAATTTCCCATTAATTTACTCTTGCTCGCTTTTCAGAAAGAAAAAAAGGGACTTACAACAAAAAACTTACTCCAAAAGAATCATAAAAGAAAAATTTTAAGGCAGTTCTAGAAATTTACCTTTGAAAAAAAAAAAAAAAATGAGTCCCTACTGCAATAGCTAATGTGTCACAATGTTTTACTCCAAAATTTCTGTACTGTTGCCAATATACTAAAAAGAGTATACAGTCAGAAAGGTAAGACGTGCCTTATTATCACTAATAACCAGCTACGGCTATCTGAAAAGCTTGGGAAAGAGGTTTTGCTCGTTAGAAGGGTTCAAGGTTACTAAACGAGATAAGGTTGCCAATTTTACCTCGTTCCTCTGATATCGAAACGAGTTGGGATCCCACTCACAACTTCACCACTATAGCGGACTTTCTATGAAACTTAAAGGAGAAGTGACATATGTCAAACACTGAATCCGTTTTTTAACAAGGATAAGCAAAATCCTAGTTTAAAAAGTCAAAACGACTTCCAGTGCTTCGGATTTCACGTTCTTCAATCTACTCCGCCGCCGACCACCTTCTAACCCGACGTATCCAACCGCGCAGAGTTATGACGGGGAAAGGCAGGAACACGCACAGAGCGTCGCTCAAGTTTACCCCTGAGGAGTCAGAAAGCCCCAAGGAACAGCCGGGTAAGACTCCGAGCGGGGGGCTGCACCTTTCCTCGTGTCCCGAGCCCTACCGCCTCCCTACACCTTGCCCGGCCAGAGAATACGGGACTTCTGCGGCGCCGGGTCCCTGCAGAGTTGGGCATGTGCCTGACAGCCCCAGGCAAGCCCGGCCTGGCTTACCTTGAGGACCGGGGTCAGGTACTCAGCCACTTCCAGCGCCTTTCCCTTCACCGTGTTAATCACATTCTGCATCCTGGGCCGGCCCCGCGACGGGATGGAAAGGGGAGCCGGGTCAGGTGCCAGGGAGTCAGAAAATGTCCCCGCTGCCGCCGTCTCGCATCAGCACCCTGCCGGCGGCACCCGAGGGGACGGGACGCGACGCGACGGGACGGGCGGGACGAGGGGGCGGGGCGGCAGGCACCGCGCGCGAGGACAGGGCGCGCGCTCCTTGCGCCCCAGGCAGCCGGCGACGTACCCAGCCCAGCTGTCACCCGGCCGCGAGGGAAAGCAGCGGCACCGAGGGGAGACCTGAAGGGAGAAGAGGCCGCACGCGCACCCCTGGCCCTCTGGGAAGCTGTCTTTCCCCCCTTTACTTCACTCGCGCCCCTTCCGGCTTCCCCTTCCTTTTCTCACTCTCTTGCCGTAGCAGCGCCCTCACTGGGGCGTCACGTGACACTGGTCTCTCCCAGCACGTGACAGGAGAAAGACCGCACTTGGGCGGGATAAGCTGCTTCTCCCCTCCTTCCGGAAGCGTAACACTGAACGCGCCCGCGCAATGGGTGCCGGGTCCACCTTTTCCCAGTCGGGACGTAATCATGCTTTTTGTTCGGCAATTGGCGGCTGAGGAGCCGAGGCTCTTTCGCCTTTTTCTACTGTAACTTCTCCGCATATGGAGACTAAATGCTACTGCTGCTACTACGGGGCCAGTTACTGTCTCAGCTCTAGAATGTGCGTTCTTCCACTAGAAGCTCTTCTGAGGGAGGTGACCGCGCCCCGCGGGCAAGCAATTGCGCGTGCGTATCAGGGGAGGGCGCGCCAAACAAGAGCCCTACTGCGCATGTGTGACCAGAGTAGGCATTCTCTGACTGCGAAGGGAAACCTGGCTTTCTCCTGTCCGGGAGGCGTCTCCTTGGGCTGTCAGTATTAGCATTTCTACCCACTCCCCGCAGGGTCTTTGCGCTATTCCTACGGTACGGTGGGAGGCTTTGGACAAGTTACTTAGCCTGGAGTTTAGTGTCTTCAACCTATCAAGATGGCCTTAGACTCATTGATTCCTACGACCTCCTCCATTTCAAACTGTAGTTCAGCAAAACTTTACGGCAGTATTCCAGGTATTTCCATGTTGGTTGTTACTGTAATGAAGTCCTTCCCAATAAGCTCTTTTTCCTCCGAGGGAAAAGAGGAGGAAAATGCAATTCTGAAAGTCTCTTTACAGCAAAATTATTTACTAGTAAGAATAAAAGCTAGGCCGGGCGCGGTGGCTCGCACCTGTAATCCCAGCACTTTGGGAGGCAGAGGCAGGCGGATCATGAGGCCAGGAGTTCGAGACCAGCCTGGCCAACACAGAGAAACCCCGTCTCTACTAAAAACACAAAAATTAGCCGGGCGTGGTGGTGGGCGCTTGTATTGCCAGCTACTCGGGAGACTGAGGCAGGTGAATCGCTTGAACCTGGGAGGCAGAGGTTGCAGTGAGCCAAGACCACGCCGCTGCATTCCAGCCTGGGCGACAGAGAGAAACTCCATCTCAAAATAAATAAATAAACAAAGGCTCAAGAATTGCTTTGTTGAAGAATCCTTTTCTGCTGTTGCAAAGTGTCATCTGCTCACCTGCTACCTTTGTCAGCACGTCTAATCAGGTTCCACCTTTTCTGTCTCTAGAGTACTCATATCAGATTTTGACTTTCATTTCCTTTTCTCGTAGTTTCTTCTGTACGCCTTAACTTTCTTGGTGCTGATATAGTCATAGTCATTTTAAAAAATTCCTTTTCTGTCCTCACCATCAATGGTATTTGCATTTAGAGTCTGCCAGCAAGGTTATTCATGAAAGTGTTTTTCTCTTTAAGGCAATTAAAAAACAGTGGAATGGAACGACGGTGCTGTAGTCATCCTATGTTATGCTCCTTGCCAACAATGTATACATTCCTGCTAGGTGCCGTATTCATTGCTTTAAGCTCGAGTCGCATCTTACTGGTGAAATATTCTGCCAATGAAGGTAAGTTAAGACTTGGTGTATGTAGGGAGCACTTCCATCTAATCACATTCTCTGTCTCATCTTTGGTTTTCTTATATATGACATGGAGATAAGAATGACTTTTGCTTCATGCGAGTGATAAAGCATATTTAAAATTTGATTCTTTAACCTTGCCTTCTTCAACAAGAAAAATATTTGATGCTGGATGAAATATTAGTCAGCCCTTTAGGAAAGAACCAGTCGTAACATTTGACTATTGTTTCAATCAACAGGTGTTTCTGGACCTATAGCAAAATGTGTAATTGCACCTTATTTTGAAGTAAAAGGATGTATTTGTTTGGTTACTTGGCATTTTTGAAGTACTTACTATTGTAATTATTGTATTAATGGTACAGTGTCAACATTGTATTGTGCAATGATATTGTATCAACATTATAAATTATAAGCTTTGATAAGTATGTATTTAAGAAATCTATTTTTTTATGTAAGGATTTAAGCAAACACTAATTGAATACTTCTTACTAGTTATTGAGGATACATACAACCATGACATGCCCTTTACTGGTCTACTTGGAGTGTCAGATGTGTACCTAAGTCTCTGTTGCAGTTAGCATTTATCTGCCAGGCACTAGGCTAAGTATTAATTAGCAGCAGGGTTCAAAGTGCATAAAACATAGACCTTGTCGTGAAGACTTAGTTTATTAGGAGAGACATAAATGTAAACCAATCATGAAAATCCATTATAATAACTGCAATAATTGATACATGCTGAAGATGCAGAGATTTTTCTAGAGGATAAAGTTCTATATTCTGTCTGGTATGGGATGATGTGGAGTTCAAAGGAATCAGAGAACACTCTGATTAGGAGACAGTTGATCCAATAGAAGTCAAGGTGAACAAGGGTATTCAAAACAGAGGCAACAGCCTGTAAAAGGGAACAGAGGCATAAAAAATCAGGATATGTTGTGAGAACATGTAATTCAAAATTACCAAGCAAAAAGTTTAAGGACTTGTGGCCTAGCACAGTGGCTCACGTCTATAATCTCACCACTTTGGGAGGCTGAGGCGAGTGGATCACTTGAGGTCAGGAATTTGAGACCAGCCTGGCCAACATGATGAAACCCCATCTCTACTAAAAATACAAAAAATTAGCCGGGTGTATTGGTGTGTACCTGTAATCCCAGCTACTCGGGAGACTGGGGCAGGAAAATCACTTGAACCTGGGAGGCGGAGGTTGCAATGAGCTGAGATCATGCCACTGCACTCCAGCCTGGGCAACAGAGCAAAACTCTGTCTCAAAAAAGTAAGGGGAAAAAAAGGTTTAAGGATTCAGAAGAGAGGGAAGGAGTGCTTGGCTGGAGAGAGGGTGATAAGTGTCAGACTGTTAAGGACTTCATATGCCATGGTAAGGAGCTGGAACCTTAGTCTCTAGGCCAATCCGAGGGATGAGGGATACTTGAATAATTGTAACTAGGATGGTAAAATGAGGGACTTGTGGTAGCTGGGTGGCAGTGGAAAAGACAGGAAGCTTCATAGCCAATTAAGCGGTTATTGCAAATTCAAGCCATAGGTGATGAAGACTCACTTAGTATTTTGGAGGTAATAAGCCAAGTAAGATAGATTAAGGAATATTCAGAACATAGAAAAGATGAAATTTGGAGACTGTATTGAATATGAATGTTTTATAGCTCCAAGGTTTCTGGTTTGAATGCCAAGTGGATTGATGCTGTTCTCAGATGAGACTATTAGGAGGAAGAGCAGGTTGGGCAGAGTTTGAAAAGATTGTAGTTTTAGTTATGTACCTTCTGTGAGGTCAGGAGCTGTGTCCTTACTGCAGTTTTCTGCAGTATCTGACATACCATGCACGTGAAGGAAATGCCAATTATATGAATAAATAGGAGGTTTTCATTCGGATATTTATACTGGCCAGTAAGTTAAATGTTATAGAATATAGATCTAGGGACATTTATGTTAAATTGATATTTAAAACTTAAGGAATAGAGAGAGGGCTCATGCAGAATGAGAAAATAAAGAGTCATGGCCAAACTCTGAGGAATGCCAACATATAAGGTGGCATGCGGACACTCCGAAGAGCGTTAAGGAGAAATCCTAAGCTAGATGGGAGAACTCAATGCACATGTCTCATAGGAAGGAAGGGAAGAGCTTGAAGACTGAGAAAGAATTCCAATATCATGGTAAGAAAAAAATTCTAAAGATACCTAATTCTAAAGATGCCCTTTAGAATTAAGAATGAGAAGATGTTTGGTAATCTCAGAGAGGAGGTAGTTTTCAGAAATCAGATTACTTGGAGATAAGACCTGAATGGAAAGTAAGTAAAGGGCAGATAATGAATGTTGATACTGTTTCAGGGAGAGAAGGTATGACAACTAGAAGGAGTCATATTTTATATTTTGTTTTTCAGATGGGAGAGTTTTGAGCATGTTTTTAGGCCAAGGGCAGTAAGCCAGTTAGTAGAGAGGAAGATAAAAGAGATACACTGAAGCCAAAAGAGATGGAGTCAAGTATCTGAGAAGGGAAGGTTTGTTTTTTATTTTTGTTTGGAGACAGAGTCTTGCTCTGTGGCCCAGGCTGGAGTGCACAGGCACAATCTTGGCTCACTGCAACCTCCACCTCCTGAGTTCAAGCGATTCTCCTGCCTCAGCCTCTCGAGTAGCTGAGATTACAGCTGTGTGCTAACATGCTCAGCTGTTTTGGGTAATTTTAGTAGAGACTGGGTTTCACCATGTTGGCCAGGCTGGTCTCAAACTCCTGACGTCAAGTGATCCGCCAGCCTCAGCTTCCCAAAGTGGTGGGATTATGGGTGTGAGCCACTGCACCTGGCCAGAAAGGAAGGTTTTAAAGGGGAGATAGGATGAATAGCAGGGTCTTAGCCCCCTTCTTCTGGGGCTGAAGGGAAACCAGTCAGGATGAATGCCATACAGAAAAAGCATGTTAGTGTGGGCAGGAGATATGTGGAGGGAAGTCATGTACCATGTTGTGATATGATCTGGGATCAGCTATGAAAGGACTGCAAGAAAACTGCTGAAAAGCAAGAACAAGCTAAAGAAAGTGACAAGGGTTTGAAAGTTATAATCCAAAGTCTCTCCTTCTTATGTGCACATGTTGGCTTATGTGTGTCATGACAGAGATCATGAGAAGTATCATTGGAGGATAACAGAGAGTGAGTTAAGTCTAGCATTGAACTGAGAAAAGGGAGGAGATGTTTTAACTATACTTTGAATGATGGAGAAAGTTGAACAGGTAGATACTTAAATTCAGGTGAACATTTATTAAGAGCCAGGAATATGACGGTTATTAATATGGTCCATTTCCTATAAGGATCTTCCATTCTGTTTCCCTCCACACACTTCCAGTGTGTCAAGTAGTGCCATATAGGTTTAGAGGTAGTGCTATAAGAACAGAGATGAATAAAGAATTGATTCTGATTAGTTTGAGAAGGTAAAGGGAAACCACAGAAGAGAGGAAGAAAGTATTCTGGATAAACAGTGTCCATTTGGCTTTTTTCCCCCTATACTTGACCAGTTTTGGTTTAATGTGACTGAGAGATACAAGCAGATGTTTTCAAAAGTGGAGAATATGCATTCCTGAAAATAGTACCCAATTAAGTTTATGTTTATACTTGGCAAAATTGTAAAGCAAGTTGTTTGTAAGCATTTAGAAGAGATAAGTAACAGTTAAGATGAAGTCATACCAACCAAACCTCGCTTCCTAATTCTATTGATTTGCAATTTGGGATGTAGCTTCCCAACTCATGAGCGGGTTTGGGTGTATCCAGGTATTTCCTCTTAGCCCTAAAAGTAGCAGAGCCCTAGGCCAGTTGTCCTCTTGCCTCAGATAGTTTCCCTCTTTACCCCAGTGTACCATTTATCTTATCCCAGAGCGCCAAACAAATATGAATGTGTTCTGTGTGTACCATGATGCAAAGCAGATTAGAAAACCCTTAAGGGAATGTCACAGAGTGTACGTCAGTTTTAGCAAGGCAAACAAGTCATGAGAAGAATTATGAGCTGAATAATAACTCAGCAGGTCAGTTCATAACTGTTGGATGAGTCAGTGTTGATTGATAATCATTTAGCAGGCAGTCTCTGATGCCACACCACAGTGCTTTCTTTGCCCTTAGTCTTAGCCTTCTCAACATATTTACATATTTATGTAAACATATTTGTTAGCAACTTCGATAAATACATGAGAGGCATTTTTAACAAGTTCAAGGATAATAAAAAGCCGAATGGAATAGGGATAGCTCATACATTAGGTGAATTAATTGATTAAAAAATCCAAAGGAGCAAAGCCAACTGGAAGAAATTTAATGTAACCAGTATTAAATCCACCTTCTAAGTTTTAAAACAATTATAAGTGATACTGTATATACAAACATACATAGAATAAAATGTATAGTTAAAAAATGTTTCTATTACATTTTAGAAAACAAGTATGATTATCTTCCAACCACTGTGAATGTGTGCTCGGAACTGGTGAAGCTGGTTTTCTGTGTGCTTGTGTCATTCTGTGTTATAAAGAAAGGTAAGTCTTGAAATGGTACTATATACTTGTTAAAAATCACAGGACCAAAAAATGTTAGAACTGGAAGGAAGGTTTTTATAGCATTTAGTTTAGTCCATTTAATTTTATAGGAGGAAGCAAAGATACAAACATGAGTGTGTTTTAGAGGTAGAGAAACAGCTCAAAGAGAAAGTATTATGCAGAGCTGCGTAGGAAGAGGAAGAGCTAGGACACCAACCGGTTTCCTAATACCCTTCCTATTGCGCTATTTTGTTACTTGTTCTGTGATGGTTTCACGCAGTAAGTTAGTTTTTATGCAGATTCAAGATTTTCTAAATCATGTGCTATCTGACTTGAGATGTATCATATTTCAAAATAGTTCCCATTTCCTAGCATAGTACACTGGCATCAAAGAGATTTTTCTGGGGCAGATGATTTTAACTTCTCTGAGCTCCAGTTTTCTGAACTTTCACATAGAGATATTAATTTCTTTCTCAAATGTAAAGTATATAGCCTTTCATGGAAAGCATATGCTTTTTAATATACATTAATTTTTCAACTTAGTTCCCCAGTTATTGGGCTTCAGCTCCTTCTGCCTCTTTTATCTACCTTAAGTGCATTAAAGTGTCACAAGGTGTCTTTTCATACTCCAGGGTTTCAATCTTTGCAGTTTCTAGTTAGTGAATACATTTCTTAATCTCATAAAGCTCATGCAGTATTTGCAGCATGACAAAAGCCTTAAACTCCCTTTGTCTTTTGTTTTACATTCTGTCTGCTACAGTGCCTTTCTAAGTTTTTAGAAACCTTAGAGATGGAATAATAACTGACTAGGATTCCTAAAAGTGAACTTTCTCTAGTTCCATATAAATAAATTTCTATTTAGTATCCCCGTTTCTTGATCTGCCCTAGCCGATTTTTCCTTTTTTAACTTAATTCTAACTTGTTGATCTCCATCTTGGCCTTATGCTCTTACAGCAGTAAGAGAAAACCACATACGTATCCTGAGTTGCCTTAAGTAATACTTCTGTTATCTGAAATTAATGGGAATTAGGATAATCAGTAGTCCTAAGGTTGTTGCTAATTGTCGGTGATGAAACAGTGGTGGGTTGAAGAGAGACAGTAATGAAATTCCATATTGTCTTTCATTTCTTAAGGCTAATATTCACTTATGGAGTCACGTTTTTAAAGCTCTCTATAAAGAATTGTATCAGTTATCAAGTGCAGTATAATTTCTCTAAAAATGTGGGCATTCTCGTCAAGGTCATTTATTTACACTGTATTTTTTTCTAAGATCATCAAAGTAGAAATTTGAAATATGCTTCCTGGAAGGAATTATCTAATTTCATGAAGTGGTCCATTCCTGCCTTTCTTTATTTCCTGGATAACTTGATTGTCTTCTATGTCCTGTCCTATCTTCAACCAGTAAGTAAATATGACAAAGAAAATATCATTGAAAAGATATGAAGAAATAAATCCCAGAATGATTTTTTTAAAATCATTTTTGTTGGCATTGTTAGTTTCTCGTTGCCCTCACTGGCCTTCCTGAGATTTTCCCAGAATTATCTGAGTACTTTATCAGTAGGCATGCCAGATTCTCTAAATGGTCAAAATTACTGTATCAAATTGGGCTGACTACTATGGGGGGGTTGCTCCCTAGACCAAGGAATCTGAAGCCACCTCTTTTTATTTAAAATAGTATGCCTATTTTCTGAGACATCCTATGGCCACTAACCTCTAATATTAATCTCAGCATCCAGGACTTCCATCCAAGAAAACTTCCCTCGTTAACTCAGAAAGTTACACTGAACCTTTCTTATACCTGTTTTAATGTAGTTTATATGAATTTTATCTGTATGGTTTTCTTTTCCTATCATTTAACCAACAAGTTCTTCAAGGGTAAGGCTTGTGTCCTCCCAACTAGAAATGCCATTTATAACTGATGATGCTGGAAATACTTCTCATCTTTCTTGGCACTCTTAGTGTCAATTTAGAAAGCCATTAGTAATCCGAACTGGACTTGCTTTTCTGCTTTCACCTGTTATTCAGTTTGGGTCATAATAGGTCACATGTGTTTTTCCCCTTAATATTTTATAAAATGAAGATTTTTTTTTCACCAAAATGTGTTTTAAATTTCTTTAAAAAGTAAGTTCAGTCATTTGATTACAAATAGAATTTTTATTGCTACCAGTCTTCTCTGTGAAGTTGCTTAAATATAACCAAATCAGTTTTAGGGTGGGATGAAAAGGAGGGCTCAGGATAGAACTATATTCGTCTGTTCTCATACTGCTAATAATGACATACCTGAGACTGGGTACCTCATACAGGAAAGAGGTTTAATGGACTCACAGTTCCACATGCCTGGGGAGGCGTCACAATCATGGCAGAAGGTAAAAGAGGAGCAAAGTCATGTCTTATGTGGCTGCAGGCAAGAGCACTTGTGCTGGGGAACTCCCACTTATAAAACCATCAGATCTCATGAAACTTATTCACTACCGTGAGAACAGTATGAGGGAAACCGCCACCATGATTCAGTTATCTCCACCTGGCCTAGCCCTTAACACGTGGGGATTATTAAAATTCAAGGTAAGATTTGGGTGGGGCACAGCCAAAGGCAGGGAACTGGGCCTGTTGATAACCTGAAGTTTTTTTCTCAGCCCTGTAATACATGTTGCTGATAAGTGTCCAGTCCATCTAGAATCTTTCCTTTCCTAAATTCTTGCTTTTTAGAGAATTGCCATCCCCAACAACATAATTATTCAAATTCAGTAAGTAAATATTTATTGTATTCTATCATATCCAACACATTTGCTCTGAATTTGTATCTCTTTTCTGTGTCCCCCAGTACCAGAGCAAAATGGCAACTTCCTTATTATTCTTCCAGCTTATTGCTTTGCTCTTCCTTCCTGATTGTGTACAACCATTTATCTTACAGGATAAAACACATGCATACTCTGTGTGGTGTTGTGCCTACGTTTATTTAAGGAATTAAGTAGAGACACATAGAAGGTTTGGGGCAGAAAGCTGTGATGTTTTATTTATTTTATCTTCTTGTGTGGAAAGAGTTTTCAGAATTTTCAGAATTCATTAAGCCAGTCAGGGTGCATGGTTAGGCACTTTTGCACTGCCCTTAATGTGATTCATCAAGGCCACTCTTTCCACACTCTTAACTTTCCTCTTTTCCTCTTACTCATCTCCTAACTAGGGGTCAGAGGCATTTGTCTACAGAGAAGTACACTGAAAAAACCTTAAAATGGTGGTTCCCGTAAATATTCAATAGAAAAACAACAATGTTATGTTCTTGGAGTTGTTGCCATTTTTAATTGAGTTCGCTCTTATCTTTAATTTAGCTGCATATTAGCCATGTTTGCTTTAATTAGTGGGTATATATGACTGTTAATATCTTTTGGGGATATAATTACCTTAAAGTGATAACAAGCAGAAAGGTAGAATGAAGTACATCCTAAGATTTGTGTTAAAAAATTACTACTGTTGTCAGATCAAATTATCGGGAGCAATGATGGAATTTCATGCTTTCTGAGCATAATGCATACATGTTCAGATTAATACTCTCATGAGTGAAATAGGACTGTATTCATAGAAACAGTTATAAAATCTGGCCGATACATTTCTAAGTGTTTGACATTTCTAAGTGTTTGGAACAACTTGAATCAACGTACAGGACTGTCAAGTATGAGTTTGGTATTGAGTTACTGGAGTGCAGCCAGGAAAATTGATACAATTCCTAGAAACGTAAAGATGCTTAAAAATAGTCCATATTTCCATTTTCTTACTATGTTAATGGGCCAAACAGTACCTACCATCTATTTGACCATAGAAACAGTATTAAAAATCTTTAAGGCACTTTGAGAACTTTGAAAAGTAGGCTTCATAAGCATAATAACTGTCATTTCTACACCTAAACCTTTAGAATATATAAGTAATTTCAGATCTGTACATAAAGATTATTTACACAGACAATGCCTAGACATTAATTTGATCATATTTGCATAAATTTGACAAGCATCAAAAATGGAATTTAATCCTCAAGTGAAATGGCTCCCCTAGTAATCACCTCTGTGTTCTGACCAAAAAGCTTTTTTCGTCAGGTGAACTGCCAAGCTAGGAAATTTCTGAGGTCAGTACTTTGAATTGTAACTCTATCTTCTCTTTCTTTCTAGGCCATGGCTGTTATCTTCTCAAATTTTAGCATTATAACAACAGCTCTTCTATTCAGGATAGTGCTGAGGTAAGTAACTTGCTGTGAAAACATATATCATACTTTAACACAGACAAGTTTCAGATGATATACCCAGAACACTGAACTCTCAGAATCCCAAGGCCAGCATTTTGTTCCTAATTGGCTTTGTATATTGGGCACGTTTAAGCCATGTAGAAAGCAGCTCTAGTGCTAGTCCATTTGCATCCTCTGCTATAAGATGAATGAAATATCTTGAGCATCTCAAAAATAAGATAATCGACTGTGTTTTAATTAGTATTTTTATATTTAGTGCCAGATTTTCAACAAAGAATTAATGAGCTTTTTATGCAAAATCTTTCTTCACTAATAGGGAACCAAATGGTTTCCAAGATTGTTAATATATTTGTAATTTGGAGTTTGGAGATGATAGATAATGGCAAATTTTTTGTTAAACTACTTGAGATGAGGATGTGATTTAAGCACTAACTAGCAGAGGATTTGTGTGAAGAATCTAGTCAAAATTATAGTGAAGAATGATAAGTTTTTAAGCTTTTAAAAATGTTATCGGCCGGGCGCGGTGGCTCAAGCCTGTAATCCCAGCACTTTGGAAGGCCGAGGCGGGTGGATCACGAGGTCAAGAGATCGAGACCATCCTGGTCAACATGGTGAAACCCCGTCTCTACTAAAAATACAAAAAATTAGCTGGGCGTGGTGACGCGTGCCTATAATCCCAGCTACTCAGGAGGCTGAGGCAGGAGAATTGCCTGAACCCAGGAGGCGGAGGTTGCGGTGAGCCGAGATCGTGCCATTGCACTCCAGCCTGGGTAACAAGAGCGAAACTCCGTCTCAAAAAAAAAAAAAAAAAAAATGTTATCGCCTATTTTTACTATCTCCAAGAGGCCCATTGAATAATATAAACATTTTTAAGTAAACAAGATCTGCTTTAGAGCAGATAAGTAAAATGGTTCCAAGATTATTTCCGTATTCCAAGCTGATTAAAGGATCACTAATAAGGAGTACAGGTCTCAAAAACATGTTTTTTAAAGTGCTTGTCATTTACTTTAAATGAGAACTGATGGTATTATACTGAAGTTGTATAGTATAAAAGTATTATGTCAAAATTACATTCATTTAAAACTGAATTTACTGAAGATGAGAGTAAAAGTATGTATTGTATGACTTGAAGTTGGCCAGTAGCTCTAGTTCTACCCCATGGTAAGTATTCCTTTTTAATATTTAAGCATTTAACTATTTGTATTAATAAAGTTAATTCTAAGTTTGACTAAATCTAAATCTATTTATGCTGTAAATTTTAAATATTTGCTTTTAATACTAATTATAATAATATTGATTACATTTTTCTAATTTTAGTAATAACACTGGTATCAATTAAAGTTCAAAAAGTCTACATACTTTATGTCTTATTTTCAGAGGGATAATATTGATTCTTACTTGCTTTGTTGTGGACATCTCTCTGTTTTGAATCCTTGGAAAATAATGTGCTAATAAATCTAATATTGTATTTTATGAGAATGCCTTTTAAGTATTTTATTACACTTTTTTTTCTTTTTTTTTTTTGAGACCTAAGTCTCTCTCTGTCACCAAGCTAGAGTACAGTAGCACCATCTTGGCTCACTGCAACCTCTTTCTCCTGGGTTCAAGCAATTTTCGTGCCTCAACCTCCCAAGTAGCAGGGACTGCAGGGGCACAACGCCACACCCAACTAATTTTTGTATTTTTAGTAGAGACAGAGTTTCACTATTTGGCCAGACTGGTCTCAAACTCCTGACCTCAGGGAATCTGCCCACCTTGGCCTCCCAAAGTGCTGGGATTACAGGTGTGAGCCACTGCACCTGACCTTATTACATTTTTTAAACTCTTTTTTCTAATTGTGGTAAAAAAATGTAAAAATTTACCATCTTAACAGTTTTTAAACATACAGTTCAGTAGTGTTAAATATAGCCACATTGTTGTGAAGTAGATGTTGAACTTTTTCACCTTGCAAATTTTAAACTCTTAAGTTCATTAAACAACTCTCCTAACCTCACCTCACCCCACCCCCTGATAACCATCATTCCACTCTCTGTTTCTATGAATTTGACTATTTTAAATTCTTCATATGAATAGAATCATACAGTATTCGTCTTTTTGTGACTGGCTTATTTCACTTAGCATATTGTCTTCAAGGTTCATCCATGTTGTAGCATGTGACAGGATTTCCTTTCTTTAAAGCTGAAAAATATCTCATTGATATATTATTATTTTATTTTGTTTATTTTTGCATTTTGAAGTCAACTTTGTTCTGTTTTGATCTTTTTGAAGTTGGTGGTGTGCATTGGTTTTCCCTATTTAATTTGCTCTTTGTGAATAATTTGATGGTCCTTTTCCCCTTTGCGATGAAATTTTGACCTAGGAGTAGCAGCTTAATAGTTCTATCGCGTGTTCTTTGTTTGCCACTTTTCATTTAGAATATTAAATCTGTTGTCTTATACTTGATTGGAGCAGAACTATCAAATTGCTTTCCCATAGCAGTAAAGAATACAAGGCTACAGAATAAAATAAAATAATAAAGAGTTAAAAAAAGAAAAAATAAAAATAATTTTTACATGTTTTAAACAAATACAAGGCTATACAAAAGCAGGAAATAGTAAGTCTGGTAACTATTGCAAGGATTACTTGGAGGAATTTGAAAGTGGGAAAAAGAAAAATATTGTCATCTAAATGTCCTTTTGTCTTTTCTTAAGAAACCTTATATGAATGTGCAGATTTGTTCTTTGAAGTATAAGCCACTGGTTTATGGTAGAAACCGGTAGCAGGCATTATACCTTGTAGCCTGCTTCACTGGTTTGTTTGTAACTTAAGCAAAGTTGTATCATCTTGTTTGCTTTGGCTTTGGGAAATAATACTAACCTAAACATTGAGATTTGGAGGCAAAAGGTAACTAAGACCAGAACTTATTTTTACCTAGAGAATGTGTATAAGTTTCTCTGATTTCCTCAAAGAAAAAGTATGGAAAAATAATTTTTAAAAATTATTTACAAATATATTTTTGAAACATGATAGATGCCTACGAAGTAAGGGTAAAGTTTAGTTACTGTCTGAAACAGCAGAGAACAAAGAAAAGTGCTACTCAGTGGTAATATGAGAATTTCTCCAGAATCATTTCACTTGATACATTTTCTCTGTGATTTCTCATTATAAATCTGCCCCTTATCACTCTCTCTGTGCTACTAAGAAATGTGTTTTTTACAGTTTCTTGAGAAAACAATATTATGTGAGTCTTTCCATTTAATTGTGTTTATACTCTGCCTTAGTCCACTACCAAATGTAGTATAAGTGCTCTTATCTGACACAATTTGAACCTATTGGTTAGTTGCTAGGAAAACTTACAGTGGTGAATCATATACATGAGTATATATATAAAATATCTGAACAATTTATTTTAAAATATGTAAATGTACATGTATTCATCATTCTGATGCTGAACTAAAGCCCACCCTTTGAGTATATGTAACTGATTTAAATTCCTTAGCTCACGTATATGTTGTTAGAAAGCAGCTTTTTATCTTCTGAATGATTTGTGAGTCTTCCTAATGTGTTCAACTCAGTTTCCATAAAAACAGCTTCTGGTCTTTTACTCATAGTTTATCACTTATGTAATCATTATATAGTGACAGCAGTGAAATCACCTGGCAAAAACATGTTTAGGAACGAGATTCTGTGAGCAAACAATTCACTTGGGAGCAGAGGCCCTCGGGAAGAGTAGCCTTCTAGCCACAGGCATTCAGCTCAGAGCATCCATTACTATGTTTTACTGGAGCAGTGGAGAGATGAGTGAAGTGAGCTTTCACTGTGTTGTATCAGTTAAACAGAAGAACAAATTCGGTTATGCAGACTCAGTCGCCATTTCAGATTGTCAGCAGAGTTTACAGGGTAATTTATTCAGCTCTATTTTCTTTCTTAAAAATCTACTGTTTTTAATTTTTAGCTTAATCCTTAATAAATTTTACCTTCCCTAGAACAGTACCTTGAATGAGTAATTGTTTACAGAAAGTATTGTTTAGCTTAAGGATTTCTTTCAATTCTTTTTTCTTAATATCAGTATTAGTGAAAAAGTTAAAGCTGCTAGAAAACTTCTAAAGGATTTGTACATTATATCATTGCCTCACTTGTATGTGATTTGCAGTAATTAATTATAGAATTTTTTTTTTTTTTGTAAAATAGGCACCCATTTTTCATCTCTGTTGTCATTCTGTTTGCTTTCTACTACTTAATGTATACCAGCTGCACCTTCAGAAATTTAAGTGATTAGTTCACAGTTGTTCATCTGATGGCATAGGGCTGTGCTAACCCCGTCACCAAGTTCTAGATCTGGTTATTTGAAAATTACATATGTATGAGAAAGCATGTAACAGTGTCCACAGGTATGCTGCTACCTAGGCTGGTTTGTGCATTTAGCAGTTTCAGAGTATGAAGCTTTATAGAAGCATTGGTGAAGGCAGACACAGCTTCCTATATGTGCATCCTGGAAACTTAGAATTACATTTAGGAGGTGTGATGATGCAGAAGGAAGACATACAAAACCATGGATCAGATTCCTTCCTTAGTCTTTAAGTACATGACCTTGGGGAAATCAGATAACTTCTTAGAACTGTTTCCTCCCTTAGAGCAGGAATGCCAAAGTGCATGGTAGGTGCTTAGTAAATGCTCAGTGATGTAAAAATTCTTGTAATTTCTGGTTCTCACCTATTGCTTTACACTTTTGCATTTGTTTATGTTCCTCTTGTTTTTTGGTGTTCTCCTTCTTCACCTAACTAACTGATCTTCAAATATCAAGATTTTGTTCCCCCAAGAGGCCTTCTGACAACTCCAGTGAGAGTGAGATATTCCTCTTTTCTTTGTACATTCTTGTTGCTTTTGCATAGAAACTCTTCCCTCTGCCTGTTTCCTCTTTTAGCTCAAGTGTGATTTCCTCTTTGAAGCAATACCTATTTACAGATTCTAGTTTTCCTTAGTATACTCCATTTGTTCCATTAATCACTTTTCACATATACTGAAATCATTTAGTTTCATTGTTTTCTCACTATTAAAGCATAAATTCCTTGAACATAGAATTTATATCTTGAACATCTTTTATCTCCCCAGATTGCCTGGCACATAGTAGCTGCTTATTAGACATCTGTTGAACTGAATGAATTGGCAAAATGGAATAATATAGATGCCCTCTATATCTCACAAGTTTGTTGCTAAGGAAAATAAATAAAGGATTGTTAGGACTTTGTAAATTGAAATACTGCCCAAAATGTCATTTTTCTTTGCCATGTCAGCCAGCAGGTTGCTGTTTAATGCTGTATGATTAGGCCATGGATCTAGAGCTAGCCTTCTCCTTTAAATCTTTTTTGGGTTAGGGACACCTTTAAAGATTCGATAAAGCTTTGAAGGATCTCAGGCATAGGGGGAAATTCATCTATATACAAGATTTCTGAAGTTCATCTACATTCTTTCTGGTTCTGGGAAACCAGGTTGAGAATCTACTATAACTTTATAGTAAGATAAAAGTTATTGTGCCAGAAGTCCAAGATAGTAGAGATTTATCTTTTATCTTACAATAAAGTTATAGTAGAGATTCGCAACCTGGGAAACCAGGGGTTGTGTCAGAGGTCCAAGATAAGCTCTAGAGGTAGAAAAGAGGCCATATTAAAATTCAACAGCCCTTTATGCTAAAAGCTCTCAATAAACTAGACATTGATGGAATGTATCTCAAAATAATAAAAGCTATTTACGACAAACTCACAGCCAATATCATATTGAATGGGCAAAAACTGGAAGCATTGCCTTTGAAATCTGGTGCTAGACAAGGACGCCCTCTCTCACCACTCCAATTCAATATAGTATTGGAAGTTTTAGCCAGAGCAATCAGGCAAGAAAAAGAAATAAAGGATATTCAATTAGGAAAGGAGGAAGTCAAATTGTCTCTATTTGTAGATGACATGATTGTATAATTAGAAGACCCCATTGTCTCAGCCCAAAATCTCCTGAAACTGATAAGCAACTTCAGCAAAGTCTCAGGATACAAAATCAATGTGCAAAAATCACAAGCATTCTTACACACCAGTAACAGACTTAAACAGAGCCAAATCAAGAACAAACTGCCATTCACAATTGCTACAAAGAGAATAAAATACCTAGGAATACAACTAACAAAGAATTTATAGGACCTATTCAAGGAGAACTACAAACCACTGCTCAATGAAATAAGAGAGGACACAAACAGTGGAGAAACATTCCATGCTCATGGTTAGAAAGAATTAATATCATGAAAATGGCCATACTGCCCAAAGTAATTTATAGATTCAGTGCTGTCCCCATCAAGCTACTAATGACGTTCTTCACAGAACTGGAAAAAACCACCTTAAACTTCATATGGAACCAAAAGAGAGCCCGCATAGCCAAGTCAATTGTAAGCAAAAAGAACAAAGCTGGAGGCATCACACTACCAGACTTCAAACTATACTACAAAGCTACAGCAATCAAAACAGCATCATACTGGTACCAAAACAGAGATATAGACCAATGGAACAGAATAGAGGCCTCGGAGGCGATGCCACACATCTACAACCATCTGATCTTTGACAAATGTGGCAAAAACAAGCAATGGGGAAAGAATTCCCTGTTCAATAAATGGTGTTGGGAAAACTGGCTAGCCATATGCAGAAAGTAGATACTGGACCCCTTCATGATACCTTACACTAAAATTAACTCCAGATGTATTAAAGACTTAAACATAAGACCTAACACCATAAAAACCTTAGAAGAAAACCTAGGCAAAACCATTCAGGACATAGGCATAGGCAAGGACTTCATGACTAAAACACCAAAAGCATTGGCAACAAAAGCCAAAATAGACAAATGGGACCTAATTAAACTCCACAGCTTCTGCACAGCAAAAGAAACAATCATTAGAGTGAATCAGCAACCAACAGAATGGGGAAAATTTTTTGCAATCCACTTATCTGACAAAGGGCTAATACTCAGAATCTACAAAGAACTAAAACAGATTTACGAGAATAAAACAAACAACCCCATTCAAAAGTAGGCGAAGTATATGAACAAACACTTTACAAAAGAAGACATATATGAAGCCAACAGACATGAAAAAATGCTCATCATCACTGGTCATTAGAGAAATGCAAATCAAAACTACATTGAGATACCATCTCACGCCAGTTAGAATGGCGATCATTAAAAAATCTGGAGACAACAGATGCTGGAGAGAATGTAGAGAAACAGGAACACTCTTACACTGTTGGTGGGAGTGTAAATTAGTTCAACCATTGTGAAAGACAGTATGGCGATTCCTCAAGGACCCAGAAATAGAATTCCATTTGACCCAGCAATCCCATTACTGGGTATGTATCCAAAGGATTATAAATTATTCTATTATAAGGACACATGCACATGAATGTTCATTGCAGCACTGTTTACAATAGCAAAGACTTGGAACCAACCCAAATGCCCATCAATGATAGACTGGACAGGGAAAATGTGGCACATATACACCATGGAATACTATGCAGCCATAAAAAATGATTATTTTGTGTCCTTTGTAGGGACATGGATGAACCTGGAAACCATCACTCTCGGCAAACTGACACAAGAACAGAAAATCAAACACCACATGTTCTCACTCATAGGCATTTGTTGAACAATGAGAACACATGGATACAGGGAGGGGAGCATCACGCACTGGGGTCTGTGGTGGGGAACTAGGGGAGGGACAGTGGGGAGTGGGGAGTTGGGGAGGGATAACATGGGGAGAAATGTAAGATATAGGTGACGGGGAGGAAGGCAGCAAACCACATTGCCACATAGGTACCTATGCAACAGTCTTGCATGTTCTTCACATGTACCCCAAAACCTAAAATGCAATAAAATAAATATTTAAAAACAAACAAACAAAAAACGTGTAGGTTAAAAGGAAACCTCCAAAGAAGGGACATGACTTGAGTAGCTTTAAGGGCAGGTGTTATAAAAATGAACTTGAATTGTTTCTCTGAACTTGAATTGTAGGAAATGCTAGCAAAAAGTGGGTACAGTTTATTCAACCAAGTACTCACGTGTCTGAGTTTTCAGTAGAAACTCTTGATATGGGGGGAAAACAGTAGTAAAATCTTGTTTTTCATCCTTGAACAGGAGGCATCTAAACTGGATCCAGTGGGCTTCCCTCCTGATTCTATTTTTGTCTATCGTGTCCTTGACTGCCGGGACGAAAACTTTACAGCACAACTTGGCAGGACATGGATTTCATCACGATGCCTTCTTCAGCCCATCCAATTCCTGCCTTCTTTTCAGGAGTGAGTGTCCCAGAAAAGACAATTGTACAACAAAGGAGTGGACTTTTACTGAAGCTAAATGGAACACCACAGCCAGGGTTTTCAGTCACATCCGTCTTGGCTTGGGCCATGTTCTTATTGTAGTCCAGTGTTTTATTTCTTCAATGGCTAATATCTATAATGAAAAGATATTGAAGGAAGGGAACCAGCTCACTGAAAGCATCTTCATACAGAACAGCAAACTCTATTTCTTTGGCATTCTGTTTAATGGGCTGACTCTGGGCCTTCAAAGGAGTAACCGTGATCAGATTAAGAACTGCGGATTTTTTTATGGCCACAATGCATTTTCAGTAGCCCTTATTTTTGTAACTGCATTCCAGGGCCTTTCGGTGGCTTTCATTCTGAAGTTCCTGGATAACATGTTCCATGTCTTGATGGCCCAGGTTACCACTGTCATCATCACAACAGTGTCTGTCCTGGTCTTTGACTTCAGGCCCTCCCTGGAATTTTTCTTGGAAGCTCCATCAGTCCTTCTCTCTATATTTATTTATAATGCCAGCAAGCTTCAAGGTCCAGAATATGCACCTAGGCAAGAAAGGATCCGAGATCTAAGTGGCAATCTTTGGGAACGTTCCAGTGGGGTAAGTTTGTGAGGGTGCTCCTTTTTGCTTGTTCTCCCCAAATTTAAAGCATAGTTAATTCAAGGGGGAAAAAAAATCAGTACTGATTTGTCAAAGAATGTATTGGATCTTTGACTTTTAAAACTGAATCAACAAGCATTCATTGGACTCCTCATGTTTGCAAGGGCTCACGATAAATGCTGTATCAGGGATAGAGAAAAAGTATAAGTCAGTCTTAAGGACCTTATGTGTTATTTCATAGAATACTACAGAATTATACACCTGGAACATAACTCATAAGTTGTCTTGTCCTGTCTCCATAGTTTTACGAGTGAAGAAACAGGCAAAATGGTTTACCGATAATAAATGAAAGAACTGGTACTGCACTGATGTCTGACTCCTAGTCTCTTGCTCTTTATATTCCGCCATAGTTAGGGAAATAAGCTCATTTGTGAGAAAAGATGGTCTTTTATAGTAGTAAGTCTTGTTGAATAGAAAGCTTGGCTTCTAAGTCTTCCCTGTAGTTCACAAGCCAGTGTACCCGAAAGTCAGAGTTTGTTTATTTCACTAGAAAGTTAGTTTTCAAAAGGATCCTTGTAAGGCAAGTAGGAGAAAAATATTTCCTAGAAAAATGCTTATGCAGTTATTCTGGATATCTCTGAGTTGTTTGCAATTGTTTTGGAAGACTCTGTCAATTGTATTATTAGCAAATTAATGATCTTTTGAAGATTGAATTAAGAAGTTAAACATATGTTTAAGTGAAATAGACATCTAGCTTTACAGTTTTCATGAACACACAAAATATGAAATATTTTATACAATGAACATTTCACTCTTTGAGAAAATTAATCTATTGTTTATTAACATTCATGGCAGAGCTTCCCTGGGTGTAATGCCTGTGTTGTGATACAACAGATTCTCAAGATGAAAAATTTAGGATCTTGAGTTTCAGATAACCTTCTTTAGCCAGAGTGTACATCTAGAAGTCCTTTATTCGTTTTTCAGCAGCTGATAATGCTGTTTGCTTTAATTTTTAAGTAAAAGAAAATCTATATAGGTAACAAGGCCTATGAAGGCTTATTTCTCTTTCTGCAAGACCAGCAGGTGGTGCTCCTCACTTTGCTCATGTTAGCTTTGAAATTTTGCATACCAAGTGCACTTCACCTTTTTATCCTCTCATACCTCTATAGTTAACTTTCCAACAACTTAAATATTTATTTAATTTAACCAGGTTATATCTCTAGCTTAATGATATAATGAATACAAGTCATTGTTGTAAGGTTTCCCTTTAGTATTCATTAAAAATGCTACATTTCCAGTTTTGTTGTAATTACTGACTTCATGTTTCCTTTTAGGATGGAGAAGAACTAGAAAGACTTACCAAACCCAAGAGTGATGAGTCAGATGAAGATACTTTCTAATTGGTACCCACATAGTTGGCAGCTCTCTCAAATCTTATTTTCACATTTTCAGTGTTTGTAATACTTATCTTTTTACCTGGATAAGCCAGAAATGTTTCTAAATCATAATATTCTTTGCATATATCTAGCTGCTCCCTAAATGGTTCCATCCAAGGCTTAGAGTAAAAGGCTAAGAAATTCTAAGGAACTGATATAGGAGTAACAATATGAAGAACTGGTTAATATCTAAGTACTTGATAAATCAACAAGATATATTTGCAGATTATTTTCCTTGGCCTCCGAGCTTCCAAAAAACTTACAATAATCACATTAGCTATACCCTATAAGTATACATAGAGAGATCAGTTTACCAGATACAGTTATGTAGTTCTAGTCTACATGCCAAAGTCTTCCTTTTTTTAACATTATAAATATCTAGGTTGTCCTTTGGATTTTGAGGTCCTAGAGATAGTCATTTTGCAAGTAAAGAGCAATGGGACTCTTTTTAAAAATGTTGGTTGAATGACTTAAATACCTGGCCATACCATAGATTTGGGATAATGTAGTCTGTGCTAAATGTTTTACTGAGGAAGCAGTTTCTCAGACACAAAATCTCAGAACTTTAATTTTTAGAAATTCATGGGAAATTTGATTTTTGTAATAATTTTTTGATGTTTTAAACATTGGTTCCCTAGTCACCACAGTTACCACTTGTATTTTAAATCACTTAAACAAGCCATGATGTGGCTTTTTCCTCCACAGTTTGAGTATGACAAAATCTTGACGTCATTGCTCCTGAATTATTACATTTTGGAGAATAAGAGGGCATTTTATTTTATTAATTATTAATTCAAGCTGTGAGTATTGTATATCTTTCCCAGAGTTGAGACACTGGCTTCAGAATCACACGAGATTGTCAGTAAAGCAGATGCCTAGGAGCTTTAAAAGGGATCTTTTCAAAAGGATCACTTTCCAAACATGTTGACTTTTGCTGACATATGAATATTTCTACTCTAAAAATAGACCAGTAATAAATAAGTCATTTTACAGTACTACTTCACACTTATAAGTGCATGGTATTTTTCATGGTGTTTTGCATGCAGCCAATTAACTCTCGTAGATAGAGAAGTCAGGTGATAGATGATTTTAAAAATGAGAAAACGTAAGTGACTTTCCCAGGGTCTTGCAGCTGGGTGATGATAAAAGAGCGGGCATTAACTGGCAGGCCTGTATATTTACAGACTACCATACTGTACATGAGCTTTGTGGTGTCATTCTCAGACAACTTGTACATTTCTTCTCTTCTTTCTCCTAATTTTCATGCAGGTGAATATAAGGTAATACTGTCATGTAATTCATTTGTGATATCCACAATAATAACGACTGGCAAGAATTGGTGGAAATTTGTAATTAAAATAATTATTAAACCTATGTCTTCTGTTGCCACTCTGTCATATAGGGTGGGATGTGGAATACTTTTAATCTTAAAAAATAGAGTGAGACAAAAACCCACACAACTTTTAAAACTTTCTCTTTAAGTAGATCTTGACTTCTAAGAATAACAAAGGCATTTATGTGAAACAGGAAGATTATATCTATATGGCAATTCATTTTAAAGGTAAGGAAAACAAGGTATAGCAGGACCTTTTAGGAAATACGGCATATAAACCATTTTTATCTTATAAAACATAAAAATTACAAAAAATATTCTTACAAAGGTATCACATACAGAATACATTAAATAGCAGATTTCAGTAGTGCATGGAGATTGATTTTCTTATTTACAATTTTGTTCCCCACCTCTTCTTTGGAAAGCATTTTTTGCTCAAAGTTAAGTTTACGTATGTTAACTTGCCACTTAATGAGAGAGGGAGAGAAAGGTGAGAGCACAAGAGCATGTACTGGAACTAAAAATGTTAAGTTCTTAGCGACGCAGCAATCCCTCTACTGGGTCTCTACCCAAAGGAAAAGAAATCATTTTATCAAAAAGACACCTGTGCTGCTATGTTTATCTCAGCAGTATTCACAGTAACAAAATCATGGACTCAACCAAAGTGTACATCAGTGGTGACTGAAATAAGAAAATGTGGTACATATACACCATGGAATATTTTGCAGCCATAAATAATGAAACCATGTACTTTACAGCAACGTGGATGCAGTTGGAAGCCATTATCCTAACTGAAATAATTCAGAAACAGAAAATCAAATACCACATGTTCTCACTTACAAGTGGGAGCTAAACTGGATCCATGTGGACACAGGATTCCAAAGTGAGAAATGTGGTGTACTCTTCCATTCTCACGCTGCTATAAAGAAATATCTGGGACTGGGTAATTTATAAAGAAAAGAGGTTTAAATGACTCAGTTCTGCATGGCCAGGGAAGAGGCTCAGGAAACTTAAAAGCATGGCTGAAGGCAAAGCAGAAGCAGGCACCTTCTTCACAAGGTGGTAGGAGAGAGAGTGCCAACGGAAAATGCCAGATGCTTATAAAACCCTCAGATCTCATGAGAACTTACTATCACAAGAACAGCCTGTGGAAAACTGCCCCCATGATCTAATTACCTCCACCTGTTTCCTCCCTGAAAACCTGGGGATTATGGGCATTACAATTCAAGATGAGACTTGGGTGGAGACACAAAGCCTAACCATATCAGGTAAGAAGGGCATGAGGGTTGGCAAAATATCTATTGGGTACAATTTTCACTATTTGGGTGATGGGTCCACTAGAAAGCCAAACTTCACCATTACACAATATACCATATATACACAATGTAACAAACCTGCAAACCTACCCCCTCAATCTGAAAAGTATTTTCTTTTAAAATGTGAAGTTCTGGTGTATATCCACTGGAGGTCTTGTGGGCACCACTGTTTTAGGAAGGTCAGAGGTCTAAAAATCATATACTGCATGTTCCTGAAATTGGGATAAGTATAACCTGGAGAGGAGCAATTGTCATGTGCAAAAGGAAGTAGATTTTTTTTCTGTTCGGGAGAATCAAACTACAGTGAGATTTATACAGTAATGGTCATTATTTTATTATAATAAAGACTTTCCCATAATACATTACTTTTCAACAGTTAAAACCTGCCTGAAGAGTAGTAGAGAATAGTAGTAAGTGATCACTGAAATTTTAGGAAGAGATTTCTTCGTTGGTATACAAGTTGGACTAAGTGATTTCTAAAGTCCCTTTCTATCTTTAGATTCTCTTCTGCTCAGTTATGACCTACACATGATACACTGAATCTCTTCTCTTGATAGTTTCTGCATAGCCTTTGGTTGTACCACAAGTGTGGCTTGCAGTGAGTTATCTGATCTAGTTCTGTCATTGGTCTTAGGACTGAACCGTCCAGGACTGTGCCTAAATCTGAAGGAAAGCAGCAACCCAGCTCTTGGTTATAGATAGAAAGATGGCTTAGACCTAAGATCTCAAATTCTTGGCCAGCTGCATCTTGCTGCCATAGGTTTTCAAGATCCACATACAGAGGGGTTAACTTGTCAGCATTAGTCTGTAACTGAAGGCTTCTTTGCCTCTGGAGTCCCACGTGGAAGCCTTGTCACTTGTAAGCTGGACTAGACTTGGTGGAGCTGCAAAGAATCTTTTTGCTTTTCTGTATAGACCCAATAGGCTTGATTAAATAGCCCATATTCTCTTTGGATCCTTTTTCCTTTATGTCCTGATTTTTCTCATGAACGTCTATCTACCTTTCCTGTGGGGAGAAAAGGCAGAAAAAGTCAAGCTCAATGAAGAGTGATATTTTTTTTCTCTAAAACCTAGAGCAGAGTTTCTGAAACTTCTTTTTAAAGGAAAAAAATATACTCATAAATGTCAGCGTGGACGTTTTTCTACTTTACTGTTATTTAAATACATACGAACATAATAGGAAGTATAAACTGTCTGTACTTTTTATGTGAAAACCAAAACATTTGCAAATTAAAATACAAAGCGTTAAAGCCAATAAATTTCTATTTCAAGTATGAATGTAATGAGAAGGTGGTATTTTGCTCAAAGAGAATCATAACAGTCCACCACCAGTCCTGCAGAACTGCCCTCATTGCTGTTTTAGTTGCTTTAAGTATTACTCTGTGGCTGTCAAGGAAACTGAAACTTTCTGACTTTGCAAGTCATACATTTAATCCTGCTGGGGATTTATCAACCCCTGTTACTAACAATCCCATACCGATGCTACTAACTCCCATTGCGCTTGGTGTCCTGGAAAGATTTTTTTTTTTTTTTTTTTTTTTTAGACGGAGTTTCACTCTTGTTACCCAGGCTGGAGTGCAATGGCACGATCTTGGCTCACCACAACCTCCACCTCCTGGGTTCAAGCAATTCTCCTGCCTCAGCCTCCTGAGTAGCTGGGATTGCAGGCACACACCACCACGCCCAGCTAATTTTTTGTATTTTTAGTAGAGACGGGGTTTCACCATGTTGACCAGGATGGTCTCGATCTCTTGACCTCGTGATCCACCCGCCTCGGCCTCCCAAAGTGCTGGGATTACAGGCTTGAGCCACCGCGCCCGGCGGAAAGATTTTTAAAATATCCGCTTTATGTGTTCCCTGAATTTCTGACAGAACACACTAGTAAAATTCCCTAGGCCTGGCACTTTTTTGAGATACATTTTTTTCCCTCTCTCACATCATTCTCTATCTTCTTTTTGCTCTTCTTGGTTCACTCTTGATCATTTATGTTTTGCTAAAAAAGTTAGCCATTCATCTAGATTTTTGAATTTATTTGCATAGACATTTATGATTTATTCTCATAATCGTTTGGATTTCTCATTGCTGTAGTTCTGTTTTCTCATTCTTAATTTTGTTTCTGAAAGTTTTTTCTGTTGTTTTTTAAAATATAGGTTCTAACTAGTTATTTCTAATTATTTTTTCCATTTTTTGTGGTATAATGCACAGCATATAAGTTCCTGTCTTAACCATTTTTAAGTGTACTTCAGTAGTTATTAAGCACATATATATAATATAAATATATTACACAACCATCACCACTGTCTACTCATGAACTACTTTTCATGTTGCAAAACTGAAACTGTATACCCATTAAACAGTAACTTCCCATTCTTCTCTCCCTTCAGTCTATGGCAGCCAACATTCCACTTCCTCTCTTTATGATTTTGAGTATTCTAAAAACCTCATATAAGTGGAATCATACAGTATTTGTCCTCTTGTGACTGGCTTATTTTACATAGCATGATGTCCTCAAGGTTCATCAGTGTTGTAGTGTATGTCAAAATATCCTCACTTTTTAAGACAAAATAATATTTCATTTTATGTATATGCCACATTTTCTTTATCCATTCACTCATCTGGACACTTGGGTTGCTTACAGCAATTTAGCTCTTGTGAATAATGATGCTGTAAACATGAGTGTACAAACAATCTCTTAGAGACCTTGCTTTCAATTATTTTGAGTACATATACATGAAAAGTGGGCAAAGGACTTGAATAGATATTTCTCCACAGAAGGTATACAAATGACCAACAAGCACATGAAAAGATGACCAACATCACTAATTATTAGGGAAAGGCAAATCAAATCTGCAGTGAGATATCACATCACACCCATTACAATGACTGCTAAAAAGCACACAACAGAAAACAAGAAGTGTTGATGGGTATGTGGGGAACTTGGAGCCCTTGTATACTGTTGGTGGGGATATAAAATGGTATAGCGGATACACACACACACACACACACACACACACACACACACACACACACCCCTAGATGTGGATTTACTGGATCATATGGTAATTCTCTGTAAATTAAAGGGTACATTTTAAATTTTTTTAGGATGTGACATACTATTTTCTTTAGACGCTCTACCATTTTACATTCCCACCAACTGCTTACAAGGGTTCCCAGTTTCCCATATACTCACCAACACTTGCTTGACGTTTTTGTTTTTCAGTGGCCATTGTAATGGGTATGATGTTGTAGATTTGATTACCCTTGCCCTAATAATTAGCAATGTAGAGCATCTTTTTATGTGTTTGTTAGTCATTTGTATAACTTCTTTGGAGAAATGAAGTCCTTTGCCCACTTTTGAATCTGTTTGTTTTTTTTGTTGCCTTTGTTGGGTTTTAGGAGTTCTCTATATATCTTAATATTAATCCCCTATCAGATATATGATTTGCAAATATTTTTTCTAATTTTGTGGCTTGCCTTTTTACTCTGTTGATAATGTGTTTTAATATACAAAATTTTTTAATTTTGATGAAATCTAAATTGTCTATCTTCTATTGCCTGTGCCTTTAGTGTCATATCCAAGAGATCATTGTCAAATCGAATGTTGTGAAAAATTTTCCCTGTGTTTTCTTTTGAGCTCTATAGTTTTAGGTATCATACTTAGGTCTTGGATACATTTTCAGTTTATGTCAGTTTATTTTTGTATATGATGTTAGGTAAGGGTCCAG